GTTTGAATTTTTACATAAATATTGTGTTACACTGAATGACAGTGTAACATTATTTCAACCAAATGTTGACATTTTATCCTCCAAAAACCTTAAAAACCTTAAAAGTAGACACTTTACTTACATTTAATGTGTTTTCTATAGACATAAAATCACTTTTGTAAATTTCTTTTGATATGAACATCTTAACGTATTTGACCTACATACATAAATAGATAGATAGATAGATAGATAGATAGACACTCAATTATAAAATTTAAATATAATATATACATTTATTTATATTAAACATAACTTTATGTTTAATATAAATAAAGGAGGGAATGGAAGTATATATTTTTTATATTATGGTATACTTGCTTTACAAGTATTTCCATCGTTAGTTAATGTTAACTATGTAGTTAACTAATTTTAACAAATATTACCATTTATTTTTATTTTCAAAAATTAGCAGTAAACTGACTGGCTCACCTCAATAATAGTAATCTTGCTGAGATCTGACTCGCTGTAGCTTCGCTTGTTTAGAAGGACGTCCCTCTTCCTCTCCAAGAACCCGAATGGCTCGTCCCAGGACTCGCAGGAGTACGCTCTGCATGAGCCTCTCCTTTCCTTCAGAGCAGGCCGGTTTCTCTTCAGAAGTGTCACCTTCACTGTCTTCTTCAGGGCCAAGATGTTCAGCCTCTTCTCCAGTTCTCTCTGGGCCTCTGGAGGACTGGGAGGCCCCTGGGTGAGAGTGATCAGCATGCTGCAGAGGACGTGCAGGATCTTGGGCGTGTGTTTGAGGGTTTGGGCCTCGTCCCCGTGCAGCAGAAGGGCCTGACGCAGGAGATACTGCCGGAGACTGAAGGAGGAACCGTGCCGCATGTTCAGACACGGGTACTGGGCCAGCTGAGAGCCCACCAGCCGGGCGAAATCAAACACCAGATTGATCTGTGATCGAGTCTGGATTGAGCGAGGCCTTCTGATCCGAACATAGTGGACAGCTTCACTAGCGCTGATTCGACAGGTGTAGACCAGATAGCATGCGATAAGAACACCTGTACAGTAGGGTTGATATTAAGGACTTTACTCAAATAGAATATCATCTTAAAGTAATAATGCATGAGATGCAACTTGCCTGTCCTTCCCAGTCCAGCATGGCAATGAACAGCCACCTTTCCTTCCTGCACAGCGAAGGCCAAAACCTTCACGGCATCCAGCATCCCCTCCAGAGATGACACTCCAAAATCAGACATCCCAAAATTATAGAAGTAAACTGTCAGACAAAAAGGAACATAATTCAGTAATTCATCATTTAATTTATTGGGTGAATCTCACAAGGAATACTCAGGTCATATTTTACACCAGCATTAAAGGAAAATGTATATTATTGCATGGCATGTAGAAAATGACCATTCATACATTTTAGGCCCAATACATATGTTTGCACTGTGATTATATTATATATTGTAAGATATATAATACTGTTCAAAAGTTTGGGGTCAGTAAGGTTTTCTATAAAGAAATGAATACTTTTATTCAGCAAAGATGCAATAAATTGATCAAAAGTGACAGTAAGGACATTTATAATAATATAAAAGATTTATATTTCAAATAAATGCTGTTCTTTTGAATTTGTGAATTTGTCACTATATATATGCGTGCGTGCGTGTGTGTGTGTGTGTGTATAGTATATATATAACCTAATGAGATTTAGGAGTGCACAATGCAAATATCTGTTTAGGGTGTAATATGAACCAGATATGTTGCAAGAGAATCATACTAATAGTAGTTCTATGAAAGTTCCATGAAAGTTTATGACTTTGGCTCACTTTGACTGTCCATAAAGATCTGAGGTGAATATGTGAACCCACTGCCAGGGTCCAGAGGAGGGCCGCAGTGAGCATGTTCGCCTGGCAGCTGCATATTAATGATGGATTTAATGTTGAACCTATAAGCAAGTACACAAGCATACACACACATACACACATTGTCACTTATTAACCAGAACCACTCCTCTGCAGAGTAAGTAAACATCTTTTTAAAGACTGTATTAAATAACACTCACTGTTTGAACTGCTCTATGATGCAGTGTCTCTTGATGAGACATGTAGAAGGTCGTGCCATTGCAATAATGTCATCGGTCACCCTAAATACAAGGAACACAGTGAATATATACATGGCTATTTTTGTACGGCAAAGAAAGAGGAAAAACATATTAAACAATTTCTCATTCTTGCATTCAGTTCAATTCTTACAGGTTTCGATGTCACTGGTTCTTCTCACATATAAATATTCCTATTTGTTTGGTGTGTCTCTTCTAACACTAAGGCTATGTCCACATTAATCCGGATACATTTGAAAACACATATTTTTTCTTGACCTTTGACCTTTAGTCCACACGGAAACAACGTTTTTGTCCAGCAAATACGGAGCTTTTTGAAGACGCTCTCCAAAGTGAGTACATTTGGAAGCGCCGTTTTCACGTTGCAGCTGTGTTAGATTAATGTTGCTGTAGCCTTAATCATTCAGACAACAGAAACACTGTAGGCCTCACCAGCTGGAGAAGACACCTTTAATGGCCTGTTGGCTTATGCTCCAGCACGCTGGACCTTCATATCGACAGTCTTTTCCCCCACAGGCAAAAAGACAGATGATCTTCGAAGGAATAGCCTTCACCAGACTCTCCCTGGCCTGAGAATATGATGGTCTGGGCACTGGAACCTGCGGCGTCATGGAGGACAGGCGAGGACAGAAACTAACAGCAAATCACTGGTTCTGTATGCACTAATGGCTTAACATTTAGCAGGCAACTTTGTGGATGTGCTGTGCATTGGGAAATCAGCTGAGGAATACTATAGACAGAAATATGGCAAAGAGACAGAAAACATGCAGTCAGTGACAGAAGAGTCAAATTCCACCTACTAACATGACAAGAAATTAATTAAATAACAGTAGGGCAGTCAAGCTGTCGCCGCCATGTTAGCTGACCTACATTTTAAGCCTGTTGATATATCTACTGCTCTGTATTTTTCTTTAGGCCTATTGATAATTCTCTTATCAACAGAGACTTACCCATGTGGCTCCATCCAAAGAAAGGGTTAAATGTGAAATGTTTACATGCAGATTTCATGATAATCATGTAGAGACAATCTAACATGGCTATGCTGCATACAGAAACATGTTCATGCCTCAAAGCTGACCCAGCGATTGGTGTCTAATCCTTATTAAGTGTCATAAACACATTAGTGGATAGGTCGACGATTCATAGTAAGCCTAATTGTATAACGTGCTCTGGGGCTGGCAGTCTGTACATGCAATACCTACGAAACAAAAATGTTTCTCATGTACATTTTAATGTTTTCTTTTATTTAAATTAATTAAATAACAGTAGGGCAGTCAAGCTGTCGCCGCCATGTTAGCTGACCTACATTTTAAGCCTGTTGATATATCTACTGCTCTGTATTTTTCTTTAGGCCTATTGATAATTCTCTTATCAATAGAGACTTACCCATGTGGCTCCATCCAAAGAAAGGGTTAAATGTGAAATGTTTACATGCCGATTTCATGATAATCATGTAGAGACAATCTAACATGGCTATGCTGCATACAGAAACATGTTCATGCCTCAAAGCTGACCCAGCGATTGGTGTCTAATCCTTATTAAGTGTCATAAACACATTAGTGGATAGGTCGACGATTCATAGTAAGCCTAATTGTATAACGTGCTCTGGGGCTGGCAGTCTGTACATGCAATACCTACGAAACAAAAATGTTTCTCATGTACATTTTAATGTTTTCTTTGGTCTAAATTAAATGAGTCAGAGTTGTGGGCCATTAAGAATTTAATTGAGAAACTGGGAATAAAATTCCAAGATATTCATATAACTGTTGAAAGTGTGGTTTAATACATTGAATTTTCGGTATCAAAACAATACACAACATTTGGAATTTGTCCAGAAATATTAGTTGATATAAATAATTTATAAGGTTTCAAATGCCACTAAATTAATTTAAATGCATTTTATTTCATTTATAGAATAATTCAATTTATCAACTGAAATTTAATTTATATACAGTATTTTTCATTACATTTATAAATTACCAGTGTGGTTGTTGTTAACTGAAATGGAAATAAAAATTAGTTAAATAACAAATATATTAATAAAAATGACAAAACCACATAAAAGATCACTGCAACTTAAACTAAAGTGAAACTGAAAACATTTTTAAAAAGCTAATTAAAAAGAATAAATACTATAATAGTATAAAAACACTAATATATCACTGAAATCATCTTGCATTTTATGTCCCATAATTTAACCCCAAAATCTTCAAAATGTAGCCCAAACATATGACACATACCTTGCGAAATACTAAACTAGAGATTAGCTCCATCAGGGAAAAAACAAAAAAACATTCACACAAAATAGGTTTTTCACAACATGTAGTACTTTATTTAGGGGGAGTTACCATGCAGCTCATTAGAAAGCGATACATTTAGGCAGACAAATGCACAGAAATTCATCTGCATTCATGACATTTCTATGAACATCATTGAAAAACTAAACAGATCACTTGCTAAGGATCCCCTCGCCACAAAACCAAGAAAGCAATGAGTGCTCAATAGGATATGATGTCCTTTGATGTTGTGTCGCATCTATTGGGCTTCATTTCTGGCTAGACCTTAATAGGTCCTTTGATAAGGACCTTGCTCTGTATGAGATCGTTTCTCATTACAGGAACGTTACCTCTGTTGTGTAACTTTTGTTCAACAGCACTGCGATAACACCTGCGCGTGAAATTCAGCAGTGTGTCATATTGTGTATTGTTAGTAAGATATCTGAACCAGTGGATTCAACCAAGTCAGCACAACCTGCAGAACCGGTGTGCCTGTGAACCCTATTCTGGTGAACATGTCATCTCACTCTGATCACGCTCTCTATGGCTGAGCGGCGTTGACGTGGCATCAAAAGGAGGTAAAAGAACATCAAAAAAGAAAGAAAAAAAAACAAAACAGTGGGCTTTTACCTCTAACCCTGATCCGCTGCTCCAGAAACCTTCTGCTAGTTTTACTGGAGAGCTATTTGGACCAAGCAGCCATAGTCTGAATATATCTTTACAACAAATACACTTGGGCTTTAAAAGGGCGAGACCTCCCTGTATATATGTGAGCAACATGTATCCATTAGTACATCTACAAAATGCCCATCCAGCCCATTCTCTGTTTGTATTTTAATGGATTGTTGACTACTGTAGACCTTTTGCAGAAACAGTCAGTCCTGCTTTGGAGTCATGTGCGTTGCTCGATGGCACAATGGTGATTGAGGACGATTGTGATCACAGAAAAAACTGGCTCAAATCTTCCAACCTCGGGACCAGCAGCTCTCATGAGGGATCACCTCTCCATGAACATTTCGTTCTTCTCTCCATGGTTTCTTCAGGGTTGCACAAACAGACAGGAAAGCAGAGCCGTTCTGAAGAAAAGCGATGGTGCTGCCACTGCACAGCGGGAAAGTTGCGAGATCCATCGTTTTCCATGGAGGAATCATTGTCTACGTGTCAAGTTTGCCATGGACACATATGGCGTGGGAGGTACTTGGGTCGCGACATTTGTCACGACTGAAGCTGTGTGATTGCTTTGGCTGCTGCTGGCTTGTATCAACAATTGCACACAGCTTGTTTGATCCAGCGTGCTATTGGGTCTTTCTCAACACTGGCTGCATCAAGGTCTGGAGCAGTTGTCTACCCTTGGCAGCAGACACTTACTCCAGCACCTCCATCATCTTCTTCATCATCGTCATCATCATCCCCTTCATCACTCCCCTCAGATAAGATCTGTTGATGGAGAACAAACGCTGTTGCTCAAATAGATACACTGTAATAAAATGTTGACTTTTTATTTTAACTTATTGAGTTAACTTTTTGCTTTGACTCAGTTACATTTCATTTACTTAGAATATAACGTTTTGTTGGCGCAATTAAATTTTACTTACCCAGACACTTTTTTAAAGTGGATTTATAAAAGTAAGGTCAGTACCAAAGTTAATGTTCATTTAACCTAACTGTTCAACCAAATATAATAATTCATTAATTTCAGTTGTTCATTGCAACCATATCAAAAGGCAAAGAATTCTAAAACATAAAATAGTAAATATAAAATGTATGAAAACACACCTTATATAACACACTTTATTATCAATTTAACAAAGTGACAAAAGGACAGACCAAATCTCATTTTCAATTTTCAACTTTGTAATTCAGATCAACACTTGAATGTTTTTGAAAAACAATCCTGTCTGTAGTTTTTTTAAAAAATGGATTAAATAATTTTGGTTGCAGAATATTGCACAATACAGTACAATGCAGAGTGTTTTCATTTCATTTAGGACTGTGGATTGAAGAAAACAATGCAATGCATATTTATGAACCTTAAATGTCTTATTTTTATTTATGCTGTCATAGTTATGGGCTGCATTTTCTCATCTAATAAATAGCTACTTGACTAATAAATAAATGGTGATATTGAATTAAGTTATTATTTTATTATCTTACTTGCAGATTATCAATTTATATATAGCAAGTAAGTTTGAGTTATCCACCCATCCTTTACCCTGAGGAATCTGGCACACCCTCTTACATAAACACATTCTCTAAAGAGGTGGGGTGAATATAAAACAATAGTCTGAACTTTGAGCTCAGCTTAAGGTGCCATGCACAAACTAAGAGTTAATTTAAAATACAGCATAGTTAAACTGTCCGTGTCTCCGCTATAATATGATAGCAGATGTCCTTTACCATAGTGTCAGTTATTCCTACAAGACACATTAGTGCATATGTCCTTAAATGTATTTTATCTGCAGTGACACTTGCAATAGTATTATCTGTCTATTATCCTCAATCTATCTATCTATAAATCTATCTAAAGCTGAGTTTATACATACATGAAAGATTTAGATTAAGTGATATTTATTGCAACATCATGTTGAACCTAAACTCATACTTAAATGTGTGATTCGAAATAGTTGCTGAAAAGGAAAAGTTAAAGCTAAGGATGATAACATAATTAAAAAAGGTAAACTTCTACTTCATGCTAAACATCATTGCACATCACTTCAAAAAGGGTTTTCACATAAATATGGACACACACAAAATGTGCATACTTGCTAGTTTGCAATAATAATAATATTTTACCATATCATTTTCTTGAAGTGAATAATTAATAAAAAAATGGATAAATAAAAACTTACCATGCTGATGATTTGTTCAAGGTTCAGAGCAGTGTAGTGCAGTTCATGTGAAGTGAATCTTCATTCGTTATTTATACTCTTCCTACAGAAACTGCTCACACCTCCTCAAAGAACATAACTATGCAGCAGCCAGTCCGGTGCAGACACATTAGAAGAGATCTTTTCACAGAAACGAAAGTGAAAGTAAAACATTACTTGTAAGGGGTTTCAGATGTTCTCAGTTATATAATTTATCATGTAACAATTCAGATACAAAACGTTTAAGCCCTAGTGTGATTAGAAAAGATAGTCGTGTGACAGGGAATGACAGTGACACATACTGTATAAGGAAGTTTTGATCATGTTTGGCCTCTTGGTTATACTTATGTCAAATATATGCAATGCTTTTGATTGTTTTGTACAAAACTTTATATATTTTATGCATCTGGTAACAATTACAAAATTCAATTTGTTGATATTCGTAAACTGCATAAGTTAACACGAACTATCAGTGATATACAGTGGGTACGGAAAGTATTCAGACCCCCTTAAATTTTTCACTCTTTGTTATATTGCAGCCATTTGCTAAAATCATTTAAGTTAATTTTTTTTCCTCATTAATGTACACACAGCACCCCATATTGACAGAAAAACACAGAATTGTTGACATTTTTGCAGATTTATTAAAAAAGAAAAACTGAAATATCACATGGTCCTAAGTATTCAGACCCTTTGCTGTGACACTCATATATTTAACTCAGGTGCTGTCCATTTCTTCTGATCATCCTTGAGATGTACAAAATCATTTAATTGCGATGACAGAAAACATGTTTTTCTAAATAATAATCATGATAATAATAATAATAATAATTGTGAGATATGTTCTCTATGCTGTCTTACCTTGTTGATCTGGCAGCAGAAGGCTCTGGAAAGGACAGATCAGTGGGTCTGTGTGTAATTTATACTGGTGCTGTCCCCGCCCTCATCTGATCTGTGAACAGCTGCTGCCCTGATTTTCATAAGTTTCCTTTTCTCAGTAAGTTTCTGATCCTTCCCTCTACAGAAAGGCTTTGTTGTAGTTTCTTACTGAATGACACAGCATTTTCTTTGAGCCTTTTAAAATGAATCTAACTCACTTTTACCTTTGTAGAGACAACACATGTTTCTGACCAGTTGTTTTGCATCCATTTATATGTTCTGAAATGTCATTTTACTCTAAACATTATTTGAGAATATTGAAAATTGGGGCTGGTAAAAATGCTCTCCTTAACACTATTTCCCAAAAATGACAACACAGAAACCTGAAAGTTCACATACTATCAGTATTAATAATCATTGTAACACTTTATCATCAAGTTATATTTGTTAACATTATCTAAATTGTTAGCATGAATTAATAATGAAGCCTACTTCTACACCATTTAATCCTAAATTTAACATGAACTAATTTAAAGTTGTATCTGTTAACATGAGTTAAAGCACTAAAACTAACATGAATTCACATTAGAAATGAATAAATGTTGTAAAAGTGTATTTCTTATTGTTAGCTCACTATTAGGTAATAATAACTAATGTTAACAAACGAGACCTTATTGTTTTGTGTTGTATTGCTTTGCTATTTTAGCCTTTTCTTCAGCAGGGTTTCTGGTTGCACCAGGTTTTGTTTACTTTGGACACAGAATAAGCAAGTTATGTTTGATTCTGCTACTGGTCTCTGTTAATCAGTCCTTACTGAGCAAGGTGGTTAGAAGGATAATGTTCATAAATTTGGATGATAGCAGTTCATCCAAAAATGAAAGTTACCATGTCATTCCAAACCTTTATGAATGTATTTCTTCTGTGAAACACAAAAGACGATTTTGGGAAATGTCTGTTTTTGCAGTTTGTAAACTGCATGTCAAACTGCTGAAAAAAAGCACAAAGGTTCAAAACAGCAAATAATAAAATAACCCATAAACAACTCAATAAAGCGCTCTCCCTCTTTTCTGTGAAGTATAATGACAGTATATATATTATATGAATTACTCTTTGGAATTTTTTGACTTATAAACACTTTTAAAATATTCTGCAGTTGCCTTTACATGTCCTCCTACAATATTAGTCTGGTTAAAACTTTACAATAAGTTTCCTTTTGTTAACAATGCACAATATACTTCTAAAGCATCAATTAATATTAGCTCGTTAAACATTTATTAATACATTAGCGAAATTAAAATTGTATCTGTGAACCGTAATACCTGAGTTAATGCGAACTAACAATGAAAACGTTTACAAAGATTAATAAATATAGTAACAAATGTACTATTCATTATTAATGTTATTTAATGGAATTTTATCAAAACAACAGGGCTTCGGTTTAAACATGCAGATGATCTCATTTGTCATCTCAAGTGTCTTTGTCTCAAGAATCGAGGAAGTAACATAAAATAACCATTTTAGAAAGCTCCTCTGCAGATTCTGCCACTCACTCTCTCTGTCATTGCATTCATTTCATGGACCATCATTTCTCAGAATGCTTTAATGAAGCCAAACATGACACAAAATTCGGAAAGAATTAAACTAAAGAATTAGAACAAAACGCAAACAATAAATTAAAAATTGGGAAACAAACAAAAATAAACAAAGAACAATAATGAACTTTTATTATGGATTTTTATTTGATTTTTCAGGGCTTTTTGTTTTATCAGCGGGCCCCCTGACCAGCCGAACCAATAATACAGAAACGAAAGTTTCACCAAAAAAAAGGTGTAGGACAATACAGTTCTTTACCTGGTTCATATTTGTAGCATTATTTAAAAGCCAACAATGTGTCATCGAGCGTTTTCTTGGTTCACCTTTAGCATTACATGCACTGGAATGTTTTTTTTTTTTTCCTGGTTGGTTGTTTGCATTACACTTCCAACAAGACTTTGAGATTTCATTGTAGACTAGACAGCTCGTCGTAGACTTTCATCGTAAACTAAAGAGTTCAAAGTAGACTTTCAAAGCATAGTAGTTTCACTGTAAACTAGACAGTTCGTAGTAGACTTTCATCGTAAACTAAAGAGTTCGTAGTAGACTTTCAAAGCATAGTAGTTTCACTGTAAACTAGACAGTTCGTAGTAGACTTTCATCATAAACTAAAGGGTTCGTAGTAGACTTTTTCATCGTAAACTAAAGAGTTCGTAGTAGACTTTCATCGTAAACTAAAGAGTTCGTAGTAGACTTTCAAAGCATAGTAGTTTCACTGTAAACTAGACAGTTCGTAGTAGACTTTCAAAGTATAGTAGATTTTCATTGTAAACTAGACATTTCGTAGTAGTATACTTTCATTTGTCACCTAGACAGTGCATAGTTGGCTTTCAAAGTATAGTAGACTTTCATTGAAAACTAGACAGTGCATAGTAGACTTTCATTTCATTGGTTTTACAAAATTATTCTGGCAACCACAGCTGCCAAAATTATTTTGTAAAAACTACAGAATTTTTTTTTTTACAGTGTTCATAATACTTCTTAACTTCATAATAGACTTCATAGTAGACTTCAGATGTTGCATCAGACTTCATATGAATGTTGAAACTAGAAGTACTTCAAAGGAGACTCAAGACTTCACATAATATCACAGACTGCACAGCACTGAGGTGCTGACCTCTGAGCATCTAGACATCAATGCAAAACAAAGGTCATGGATCCTCTGAATGGCGCTGGGCCAGATGACCTCACCCCTGGCAGCATGGTTTTACATGAACTCCTTCTCCTTCATGATGCTAGAACAAACAGGAAAGCCATTTATCTATAGGAAATGCAGAGATTTTTAATAAAGTAGTTAAAAAAACTCTTATTATAGCACCTTTAGAGTAAGCTTCACAAATACAAGAGAAAGAAAGGCATAAAAAAATATACAAGTAAAGTAAAATCATATAAAAGGTATCCTGACAAATTGTAAGATTTATAAAAAAGGATTAATATCAATTATATGCCCATTACTAAAAAGATATGACCAAGTCATGTGTTTGAATGGAATCCATGGATGTAACATTGTAAGGTTTGTTTAGTTCACTAGTGTCTTTAACAGCAAACCCCCCAAAAATCCAATATACTCACACATTAGTACAATGAGACCAGTCAAGGTTCTGCATCGTCTCCCACAGAGGAAACACCATAGACCTGTTAAGATGATTCAGTTTCAGGTTACATTTTGAAAAAAACACCAAAATAAACATTGCATTACAAAATCACTAATCTGTGTTGATAGAAACGCTTTTTATATAATAATTTTGAGAAGATTAATTTAGAACTCTATACAGTAACTAGTCGTCTTACCTTGTTGATCTGTCAGCAGAAGGCTCTGGTCTGTGTGTAATTTATACTGGTACACATGCTTGATCTGTGAACAGCTGTTGCCCTCGTTTCCCTAAGTTTTGCTTTCTGACCTTCTATCTGCCCATTGCTCTGTTTCTCAACTCCACACCTCGACTGGGACCCATCTGATCTCCCAAAATGATTTAGGTGTCTCCCTCATTCAACAAACTAAGAGGTTGATGAGCTGAATCAGGCGTTTTAACTAGCAAGACATCTAAAACATACTGGGAGGTCGGTCCCAAGGACTGGAGTTGAGAAATATTGCTTTACAGGAAGGGTTGCTTTCTTAGTAAATGACACAGTATTTTTGTTTTTAAACATCCAACATCTTTTAAACATCTACTAAAAGTCACTCTTATCTTTGCTGAGACAACATGTGTTTCTGACCAATTGCTTTCACTCTTTTTATGTTCAGATCACTGAAATGCTTGAGAATACTGAAAACATGGGCTGGTAGAAATGTAGGTGGGGAAACATGAAGTGAATCATTTAGAGCTTTGCACAGCTCTCCACACGGTTTCTCAAAAAAAAGTCTTACATATTTTCTTTGTAATTCCCTTTTTTTTTTACTTTTCAAATCATGTCCATGTTTTTGTGTGTGTGTATATCTTCACATAACAAGTGCCACCAAAGTCACAAAGTAGAACAAAACCTGCTATGTTCTGCCCTTAGGAGCAGGATCGTCTCAACTCCATCTCCTCTAACGAAACAATCAACACAAACATATCAAGATCACCAAATGGGGTTGCAGTTGACAACAATAATGGGGTTGCAGTTCATAAACTTTGTACTCAGAAAATGTACCTGAAAGACATTTAACTGGTGCCTCCTGTAATTTA